TCCCCTATCCCTCTTTTACTGTTAGTTTCTGTGGGTGAACCTGACAAACTGACTGTGGCCCACTTCCTTGAGCAACTCAACTGGACAGCCCCAGGCAAAAAACATCCAGACTCTTGAGCAGTGGCTGTAACATCTCATTGACTGAGGTAGCGCACCCCTGGACTGGCAGCTATGGAGCCACAGGACTAACCGTGACCCACACCCTAGACGTCTGAGAGTGCCCTGACTGGATGCCTGGACTGAGAGATTGCCCTTGACTTAATGTGCTGGGACCCCCTGACTGCTGGGTGCTTTCATGGACTGAGGTGAGGACTACTTCCCTAAGGCTTCAGGACATGGCTGCCTGTTTGCTGCACATGGAGTATGTTTGTTGTGTAAGCTGGTGGGCACATGGTGCAGGTGTGAGATTGCCACAGCACACTCGCGTACAGCAAGATGTACTCTCCCTTGATGGAGGACTCTGGACAAGAAAGGCAAGCTGCCTGTTTGTGAGACTGTGCTAATTGGCATAGTAAGGAAGGCATGGGTGCTGAGAGCAAGTGAGCAGCCCTGAGATCAGACCTGGTCCAATCCTTGTGGCAGGTCCGTCTGTGTGCACAAAGTGCCTTTTCTGCAGCCTTTTAATGTGCCCTGCAATGCAAGTCTGGGCTTTGTGAGCAGCCTGCAAGCGTGTCAGAGAGGTGCCATGATGGCAAATGCTGAATGGTAATATCCATGGATGAGGGGTTCACAAGGCTGGTGCCAGGGGTTTCACCCTGAGATGCTGCTGAGTTGTGGCCAACATTAAGGGTCTTTACAGCAGCAATGAGCTAAAATCACCGAGCAGCTGCTTGGCTAATTCTTATTGTTTAGTTTTCTCAGGAAAGCTACTTAGTAATGGGGCAAGATGTGCAAGATAAGGTTATTAACAACCAGTAATCCCTTTTATATGCAACTTGCTGCTGCCTAGTGCAAATCTTAACTCAATGTTCAAAACTCGGTTAAAAGATGCAGCAAGTTGTTTCCAAGGTTTAGTTAGGTCTCACTATTCTGCCATATTTCTTACCATAACTGATGTCATTTAGGTCATGATAAGATGCAGTGCTTTGTGTCTTCCACACATCTTACATTCCTCTCTTTGCATCAACAGCAAATCTGGTCACATTACCTTCACTCGAATCATTACTGGGGATTGTTAGTAGCTGAGACCCCAGTCTTGACTTCTGCAGCACTCCACTAGTTAACATTTTTAAGTGAATACATTACTCTGAGTACCATGATCACTAATTTCAGTGACACCTTATCAAATAACCTTTGAAAATCCAAATATATTCAATTCACCGATAACTCCTTATCCAACCTGTTAGTTACACCCTCAACATTTCTAAAAGACTTGCTGAACATAATTTCCCTTATACAAATCTTTGTTGACTCTGCCTTATCACACTAGGATTTTTTAGTTACAGTGTCCCGAAAAATAAACTCTCAACTTTTTCCCTACTATTGATAGCAGGGTAACTAACCCATAATTCCCTGTAGTCCTCTGTTGGACAGCAATGTTATGTTACTAACTTCCAGTCCATGTGGGGAATTTTAAAATTTAGAGATCAGATTGGGGGAATTTTTGGCTTTTTTCCCATTCATTTCTCTAAGACTGATTTCTTTCTCAATTCTTATTGATTCCCTACTGTTTATGGTATAATTGTTGTGTCTCCCACTATGAAAAGAGACACAAAGCATATTTTTTAAAAATTGTAGTAAAGAACTTGACAATTGCTAAAAAAAAGTCAATTTAACAATTCATTGTCCACTTGCCAATCAAACACCCTTTCTTTTTACATATTTTAGGAAATGTATTTTTTCTTTCCTTTGGTAATTTTTATGAATTATCCTGACGTCTACAACCATATAAAGCGCAGGAAAAATTGTGACTTTTTCCAGCATGACAAAATATTTTTATTTCATATGTCTGTCCATACTCTCCATTATAATTTCTTTCTCTTAAACACTCATGTTAACTTTTGTTATTTATTTCCTTTCATTGACTTGGAGGAGTTTTTATGATCTGTTTTGATATGTTTTTCTAATTTACTCTAATATTTTATTTTCTCCATCTTTATCAATCCATTACTATTGTTATGGCCTCTTTAAACTATACCATTCATATGTTCTATATTTTGTTATTTATTAGTTCTACCGGTACTGATTCTACATCCTGATTTTCAGAAGTAAGATCTCTCCCTTATTTAAATCACACTCGTTGCCTCCTCCTCCCCTCCCCCCACCCAGTCTTCCCCATTTTATCTCCCTTTTCTACCTTGGAATATTGGATGCGATAATGGTGCTCATTCAATGAGCTGGAACAGGCAGGATGAGCTAAATGGCGTCCTACTACACTGTAACAATTCTGCGAATCTGTGATTTGCTTTGAAACTTATTCTGCAACTGTAACCCAAAATAGTAACCAGATCAAATGACAGTATTGGTGCTGTTCATCTATCTTGTTGTAAGTGCTTTGCATATTCATACATAACACCTTAAATTTAAACTTTTGACCAAACTGCTACAACAGCCTTGATATTTCTCTTAAGAAAGATTACCTTTCTTGAACACTCCCCACCATGTATTAGTCTAAAGTCCTGGCAACTGCCTGAGTTAATTTGTTCCATTTAGAAAAAAATAGGTTGCTGCATTCAGTAAACCAAATGGCTGAGAAAGGAGATAGT